ACAAGAGCAGTCTCAGTGCTGTGGTGGGGTCTAAAGCCGGACTGAAACATATCAAATGAGTTGTTAATTATAAGAAATCCAGTAAGCTGTAGGTAGACAACTTTTTCAAGGACTTTCCCCATAAATGGCAGATTTGAGATGGGACGATAGTTGTTAAGTACCGTAGCATCCAGGCTGCTCTTTTTTAGCAGGGGCCTGATGACTGCCGTTTTCAGGGCCTTTGGGAATATTCCAGAATGAAGGGACATGTTTACTATCTGTGTGAGTGAAGGTAACAGACTGCCCAGAACAGACTTCAGAAATCTAGTGGGTAGTACATCCAGGCTGCATGTGGAGGAGCTCAAACTGGAGATTATTTCTTGGACATTTTTATCATCTACAGGTGCAAAGTAAGTTAGCTCAGAGAGCCTTTCTGGCTGTTGGATGGTTATCTGTGGATTGGAGACAATGGCGTTTTTGATGCCTTGAACCTTGTCATTGAAAAAGTGTGCAAACTCATTGCATTTACGTTTGGAAGTTAGCTCTAATGGCATCTGAACAGGGGGGTTTGTTAATCTATTAACTGTTGAAAACAGAACACGCAGATTGTTGCTGCAGCCTTCAATCATTTCAGAAAAATACCTTTCTCTCGTACTACGTAGCACCCGGTTAAACTCGCACAACTTATCTTTGAATATCTTGTAATCAACCTGGAGGTTGGACTTGCGCCACTTCCGCTCGACCCTCCGGCACTTTCTCTTCAGTGCTCTGACCGAGTCTGCTTTAGCCCACGGCGCCTTCTGCTTATTTTTCACTATTTTAACCTTCACAGGGGCAACGGTATCCAGAACATTCAAAACACTAGAGGTGACAGAGTTAAACAGTTCATCTACAGTAGAATACGATGCATTTTCAAAGTTTATCATTCCCATAAATAGTTCACTCGTATTTTCATTTATGTGTCTTCTTCGAACAGTTGCAGAGTCCACTGGTGGTTTGTTAGTGAAACACATGTCAAAAAAAACACAGAAATGATCCGAAAGAGCAACATCGACCACGCTTATATTTGAAATATTCACCCCCTTTGTAACTAACAGGTCTAGAGTGTGCCCTCTGCTGTGGGTGGGGCCACTCACGTGCTGAGTGAGACCAAAGGTATCAAGTAAAGAACTCAGCTCTTTTGCATTTCTGTCATCAACATTATCCACATGAATATTAAAATCACCTGTAATAACTAAACTATCAAAATCTGTGCATACAACTGAAAGCAACTCGGTAAAATTATCAATAAAACTGTGACATGACTGCGGTGGCTTGTATAGAACTATGAAGAGTATTGGAGGAGATTGTTTTTGTTGTATTTTAAAAGACACATATTCAAAAGACGGAAACTTCCCAAGAGACATTCTATGGGAGACAAAGTGGTCTCTAAAAATGGCAGCTAAGCATCCTCCTTTTTTGTTTTCCCGTATTTCAGATTCAAATTTGAAATTTGGTGGTGATGCTTCTATTAAAACTGCATTTTCTGTATTTTGGTCAAGCCAAGTTTCAGCCATGAACATAAGATCAAGATTATGAGAACAAATAAAATTATTGATTAAAAAAGACTTGTTACAAAGAGATCTGACATTTAGCATAGCAAGTTTCAAAGTTTCAGTATCAGCGGTTGTGGTCGGCTGATTCTTACACGGAACAAGAATTAGATTTTCCAGATTAGACTGATTAACTCCAGATGTCTTTCTGTAATGTATTCTTTGTGTTATCACTAAGGGAATGGCACAGGTGGCTTCATGACAGGGCCCCAGCCGGGTCTCTCCTCTAACTAGACTGCCAGTGGCTGCGAAGCAGAGACCCTGTGCATCCTAGGGAGAGGAGGGAGGAGGATGGAGAGGTGGGTGGTTCTTGGGTGTTGGTAGTGATGTGCTGAGCGGACCGAGTCTTCGAAGCGTGGACCGAGTAATCTGGGGGCGTTTCTTGTGAAGTGTGGGTCGAGGCGTGTATTGGTCACGTGTGTGATGACGTTCGAAGCCTCGCGAACGGCCGTACCACGTGACTGATTCAGGAAATGATTCGTTGGTTTGGAGCGCGGTTCGAAATAAAAGGGACGAGTGAACGCAATGGATTCCCCTTCATCACTTTGTGTGTTTTTGGGTTATTGCGCTTCTCATTTGGCATCCTATTTGGCATCCTATTTGAGCTTCTTTTTTGCGATGGAACCGGCAAGAAAGAGAAGATTTTCTCCAGTTTGGGAGCACTTTGAGCAGATCTCACCTAGTAAGGTAAGGCATATCAATAATTCTGTAATAATAGATTACACAAATATGACAACACATAATTTCTCTTGCTCACTTTTCTCTGTTATAAATACGTTTGAATAATAGTTTTTTCAATTGCAGGTGAAGTGTCTGTTATGCTCCAAACAACTGGGTTATAATAATAACACCTCAGCTATGCTAAGGCACTATCGTGCCTTGCATAGCATTGTGGATTCCAACCCAGGTGAACCTGTCTCGGGGAGGCCATTTTATATCATGATAATAATTGATGATTGTCCTACAATTACACTAAATATATTTTATTTGAATGTATTTGTTCATTAGATACATTTCTAACCCTAATGTGCATTTTCTTTCAGCTGAGATGGTTGACTTGACTGAGGCGTTGGTGGATATGGTGATTGAGGATTCCCAGCCCTTTTCCATTGTGGAGGGAACTGGCTTCCGAAAGCTTGTGAAAGCTTTGGCACCATCTTGTGTTCTTCCCACGCGGCAGGTATTTATGTGAACTATTAACAATTTATTATCCTCAGATCCACTATTTCAAGACTTTACTTTTTCACTGCAGCTAGCAGGCTCGAGCATGCATTGAGTTGTTTGCATCAAAGCAGTGTGAACAAGTGTGAGATATGTCTTTCCCCAAAATGCAGCGGTGGGACACGTGTGTGTTGTCTGTGTGTGTGGGCGCGCCGCAGACACGGGAGCGCGCCTTTATAGTAACGAGCGTAAAGCGCTGAGAATGAATGAATTAAATACAGACAAGTGGCTACGAGCGACCGGAGCGTGCGTGCGTGTGTGTGTGTTCTGGCGATTAAATAAAGACTGATTCTTGAATGTCTGAAGTGTTGTTGCATTAGCACCACACTGAGAGCGAGGGTCAGGACCATAGACTGTATATATTAACGGACAGAGTCACGCCTATCTCCGCCTTTCTAACTAATGGGCCAAAAAATGTGCTCTACTAGAGCTATCCAAAATGACCGCGAGTGGTCCCGTCCACAAGAAGATTGTGAAAAAACGCATCTGCGCATGCGTCAGCCGGCGCAAGCTCCATTCATTTGAACGAGAGACTTCAAAAATTCACAGCAAGTAAACTAGAGTGGTCCAAAAAAATTCACCCCCCTCAGCATTGACACAAATGTGGAACGGAGCTTTGGGCCAAGAGCCAGCTTTTGGACCATCCTGTAAAGATGTTTTCAAGAGGTCTGCCAATGCTATATGTTAGCAAATTCTACTTCTGGGTCCACCCCCATCGGCCCGGGGTGGTATTGCAAGCATGTCAGCGCATGTCATTTTGGCCACTTTTGAGCCGAAACTGGTCAGGACAGAAGAGAGCTATACCGGTAGGATATACTACGGTACGGGGCTTATATGAAAGGTTTAACACAGCAGAGAATACAAAAGTGCAGGGAGAGACTGTGTGAAAATGCGTGTCACAGGAAGATGTAAAGTGACGCACAATATCAAGTCCCTACCACACCTCACCCCCCACTCCCCACCACCCGCGACACTGACCCCCTTCATCCGCGTTGGGAAGCGGGCCCTGGCCGCAGTTTTGATCCGTACCCCAGCACGATTCTGGAATCGTGCTGGGGCACACATGCTGCGGTCTCATTGCACCTAAAGCCCGGATCTAATCGCGAAGTGGGCCCTGGCACACTTTAACCGGGCTTTAGGCTGCGCATGTGATCGCAGCTTAAGGCCCCAACTCCACCAGGCGTGTTAAACGGACTACATATCCGTCCAAACGTGTCCATTTCATCTCCGTTTTCGTTATCTCCATGAGGATGAATGGAAGTGGCTCCACTGCCTGCAACATGCGTCCGTCCGACGGACGAAATAGAAACAATCCTATTTTTACGTCCGTCGACGCGTGTCGGGTCCGTTTTCCATTGAAAATACATTGGAATAATATGTTTACCACATTATTAAACATGTATTGATATATGCTGTGGTCCTGGTTATAAGTGTTTGTTAATGACAATAATTATTAACAAATGTGTGTAATTTTTTTCATGTATTAAATTGAAATAATTGTTAAATCTACATAAATCTACCATTTATTTTTTGGGTAATGTTAATACACTAAACTTTACATACACCTCGCTCTTTTTCCTCTCACTCTGTCCCTGTCTACCTCTGAGGCGCTCTCTCCTCACCGCCGCGCGCTCCCACACACACACACACACACAGAGCTACTGCACTTATGAGAGACAGATCTCACAACACTGGATATGTTGGATTTCTTTTCTCTTTTCTCTCTCCCCTTTTTCCGATTGCTTTCAGTAAGTTTTGCCTCATCCATCGCAGCGTCCTTGATGCTTCAATATGCCGTGCTTTGCTTAGATCAGGGGTGCTCAATACGTCGATCGCGATCTACCAGTCGATCGCAAAGGTAGTATTCTCGAGGTCGGCGTTACGTCACGAATCATGTGACCTGCGTAGCAACCAACCGCCGCCATGTTTGAAGGGTAAAACAAACCGAAGGCGAATCCAAAAGGTATCTATTTACATATGTTTTGCCGTGGATTATGTCAGTTATGGATACTAACGGACAACTTCGAATTATTGATGAATGATATCTGTGTATGCGAATGTATGTTGGTGGTGTAAACATTCAGGGCTTGCTTAGCTGGAGGCAGGAATCTAAATTCCTATCTATTTCCATTGTAGCTGTTGTCATAGTAACAATAAAGAAACTGTTGTTGGAAATATCAGATAAACCTTATTTTATTAACGCAAATGTCATTCCTCTTGTTCTTGCACCTTAAGCCACAACAGGACCACCTTTTTCAGTTGTAGTTTTACACTTATAATCGCCAGTTTTAGTTTAATCTTATTTCTCTTGCCTGCAGCTGATGTCACTGATGATGTATATACCACATGTATGGAGTGAATGTAAACACTCATGTAAAGCGCTTTGTGACTAGCTACATGTCTGTGAAAGGCACTATATGAATACAGAATTCTTCTATTGCAGCATGTCATATCAGTATATTGACAGTCTCCTAGCGCCTGCATTGACCAGGTACCACAGAAAGCTGTCGCTTGTAGGTTTACAATCTTGTCCCTATCGGCATCCAGCAGAGTCCTGGGAAAACAACCCAAAGGCATGGCCCAGGCTCGAGTATCCAGACATATACAATTACCTCATCAAGTCCCCTGGTATGAACACCATGTGTACATACCATGTGTCCTACACTTGTAGTAATATTTAAATACCCATCAAGCATCGATAACATTAACTATGTTATGACATTCAAAAGCATTCTGTTACAATGTGGCTGTAATGAGCTCAGTCTGTCAGTGGCACAGCTTGTACAGTGTAAGTGAGGGACACAGTTTTTTTCAAAAGCCAAAAAAGGCTAACTGCAGAAATTCCACTTATTCCCCACACAACTAGTGCATTTCATTGTTGCTTATCGGTGTAGAGCTGCCGACCATTATGCATAGCGATGTCATAACATAGCAACAGAAAACAGTGGCATGGCATTGGTATTATTTTGTTATTCTTTGATTTGCCCCTCAATGTGTCCATTCATTTGAGATTACATTTCTATTTAAATTTTAAAGTAAAATGGCATACCCTCTATTCACACTTTTTATGACTGGTTATTTTTTGCAATAACCAGTCATCAGATTACATTTTATTGAATGTAGTGTCTAACGACAACAGCAAGACTTTAACATTTCTAATGAGAAATAGTTTATTAGACATTGTATAAGTAGAAATACTAAAAGACGTGAAGATTGACATGAAAACATTTGTATCATTTACTTGCAATTTGTCAGTGTTTTTGCTCTGGTCAATTGTCACTCTCCTAGATGTGATATGTTAATGTATAAAAATAAAATTATTTCCCTTTCTTCATTTTCTTTTGTTTCAGGTGTATTTAGTATTATGATGGTGGAGACCGAATCATCGCTGATTTTGTCAATGCCTAATTCCGTCTGCTGCAGGTCTTGCATTTCCATGCAGGGTGTTGACACTTCTTGTTGCAACTCTTCTGGGACACTTGTCTCCTCAAATTCCAGTTGCTTCTTCACCTTCCTTTCCTTTCGTGATACTAGAGTAGTGGATGGTGCTGAAAAAAATAGATAAAAGGTATATATTTTGCAAATGATCACAGAAATTTTAAGTCATGGCCTCATATTTATAATAATAATAATAATGCATCAGTTTTATGTAGTGCTTTTCTGGACACTCAAAGACGCTTAACATTGCACTATTCATTCACTCCATACTTGGTGGTGGTAAGCAACTATTATAGCCACAGCTGCCCTGGGGTAGACTGACTGAAGCGAGGCGACCAGTCTGCGCCATCGGCCCCTCCGACCACCACCAACCACTCACTCACTCGGCTTCCTGGTGTTACTAAACGGCAGTATATTTAGTATTGAGTTGGATTGGGACGACAAGTCATAATAGTCGACTATGACTAGAAAGCAGCGACCAGTAGACTAGTTTTGTACTATAAATACCATCTTACCAAGAATTTCCAGGCTAGGCATTATGTACAAAAATCTGCATGACTAGTTACTTTGTAGATGCAATGACTTTTTCATATAGGAGGTAATTTTGTTTTCAAGGAAAATACATTTATTAGCAAAATCTGTATTTTTACACAGATTACCATTTTTGTAGCAGTTAACCTCCCAAGTACTACTTTTTCAAATTTGTCATTAGAAATCAACATGTATTTTTTTATTTATGTATTTCATATGGGGGACAACATTCTATTTCACAAGGTGCTTGTATCAATTGTTGTACACAACCTCATTGCAATGTGAGATTTCATAACACTTTGAAGCAACTTTTGTTAAAGTTAAACTCATCATTCTATCAATGTGCAGAAGCCTGTACTTTTCCACTTCATGTTTTGTCTATCTGAAGGCCAAGCTACATGGCACCGTGGAAGCTGCTGATTGGAGGTCTCCATGCCTCCGCTCTGTATAATACACTTGCATTCTATTGTATCTGTGATCGTGTGCTTTGTTTGTGCTGTCTCTACCATCGACAATAAAACATGTCTTCTGTCTGAATTTAAGACGCGATCCCAGACTTGGCTCATCTTCTTCAGGTGGTGGAAGGATGCGGGCCTTGTCTGTAACATCTACAGAACAGAAGACTTTTTTTTTTTTACACAAAAAGTGTTTTTTTTTTAAGCCAAAACTGAGAAACCTCAAGAGAATGCATCTGGATCAGCACTTGGACAATCTGCACAGCCCCTGATTCCAGTCAGGCTGTGAGCTGCTGAGACATGGACAACACCAGCGTCTTCTTTTGCATGGACATAATTTGGAACAATCTGGATTTCTGAATTTGGACATAATTTGGACTGAATTGAATTGCTGAATCTGGACACTGAAGCTGAAACGTGTGATTGAAAGACACGTCACAGAAGAATTCATGGCTCGACACAAATGCAGCCTGAGGAATCAACACGGAGAAGTGGGAGAGACTGTTTTCAAAGCAATATCTGGAACCACCATCGACTGATGAAGTTTGGTATTTTACTGAAGATTGTTGACAAGTTTTATGAAAGATCTGAACATGTTTTGAGTTTTTGAAGTATTCCGAGTTCTGAGTTTTTTATTGAGTTATGATGTTATGTTGCTGTTTATCGATCCTGATGGTCACACGTGAATGTATGACCAGAGGGGGGAATGTGAGATTTCATAACACTTTTAAGCAACTTTTGTTAAAGTTAAACTCATCATTCTATCAATGTGCAGAAGCCTGTACTTTTCCACTTCATGTTTTGTCTATCTGAAGGCCAAGCTACATGGCACCGTGGAAGCTGCTGATTGGAGGTCTCCATGCCTCCGCTCTGTATAATACACTTGCATTCTATTGTATCTGTGATCGTGTGCTTTGTTTGTGCTGTCTCTACCATCGACAATAAAACATGTCTTCTGTCTGAATTTAAGACGCGATTCCAGACTTTGTCATCTTCTTCAGCAATATGGAATCTTTTAATTCTTAACTGTGCATTGGAAATGCAGCTCATTATCTGCACGGTTTTACTGCAGTGTAAAATAAGAGCAAGAAACACAATTTGCTACTATATATATGTCTGCATAAACAAAATCGACTGCAATTTGTTGTGTCAAACAAATTCAGATAATTTTTGGTCATTGATCTAGGAGCAAACTAGATGCATGTTGATCACACTACAGTTTGATGGGTTTTTTTTTCTGTTAACGATAGGGTACTGTGGGTAGCAAACTTACCTTTTCTTTTCTGTGCTCTCTTGAAGCGATCAAGTGTGGTACTCTTAGTCAATTCCTTCAGCACTGCTTGCGGGAAAATGGACGGAGTGTAATCTGGGTGTGCGGGGTTGTTGTTCTTCTTTCCTGTTCAAGGAGCAAAGTGACAAAATCTAAAGATTCCCACTGAGTAGCTCCAAGCCAGCTGGAGCATTTCTCTCTCCTTTCTGGCTCAGTTGCCTCGCTAGGGATCATGTAAAAGGATAGGTCACTCCTTTTTACGCTGTTGTTGGTACAACCAACAATACAACAGTTTTTCGGCATGTTTTGTAACGCTCGTTTGTCTTTCGCTTCGTGTTGCTTAATGGCGGGCGCTGGTTTGTTTTACCCTTCGCCGCGTTGCTATGCGCGCGCAGTGCATTATGGGAGTCCAAGTTCCCGGATGTCCGACCTCGAGAATTGGTAGATCGCATTAAATAAATAAAAAATTACACATTCTAAACGAATATATACAAAAAACTCCGGGCAAAGTGGAGATTTTTGAAAACTCCGTTAATGCATTTGTGTGTAGACAGAGATAACCAGAGTTTTGCGTTCTCGCACGCCACAGTCCCCCTTAAATTCCTCTGATCACTGAAGCATGGATCATACTACCTTAAAAACTGTTCGCTGTGAGATGCTCGCAGCAGCAAACATCCTCCACATCAGAGAGCAGCAAAGTGATCGCGGGGACTCACGCTCGAAAACAACCAAACCAGGACTAAACCAGGACTAAATCAGGGCTGAGGACGGGGTCAGTGCTTGTAAACATACGTCTTACTCTTTACTCTGAGTGTCTTCTATGACTGTAAAAGTGCCGTTACCGGCGTCTGCATCAAAGCTCCGCCCACTTCTGTGTTTTTCCCCAACGCAGGACAGGACGTAAGAGACGCACATGTTTGGAATGTTACGAACGTGATTGATAACGCAGATGTGTGGATGCAAATTATTTTATAAACGGAGGAGGGGAAATATTTGTATTTAAAAAAACCAGGCATGGCACATGGACATGGCACCACAGTCAAATGACATCTGTGTTTTACTCAGTAATGTTTTACTGACACTTAGGTGACTGCACATGCGCAAACAACCGCGCTCAGTGCAGGAAAGCTAAACCACGACAAACTTGTCAGCGAGTTACCACCAATTTTCCGGACTATGCATCCCTGGCCGATTCAATTCAGTGCAAGTCATAAGAGTAAACTCGGGAAATGACAAAAAATGTACATAGGTAATTGTGTTGTGTTGTGCTATGCTCATGCGGTTTTGCATGTACATAAACATACATTGTAGATATAAAGAATATTTTTTGAAATATATGATTTGCATTTTTGTAGTAGGTAGATCATTTTGACTTGATCCTTTTATAAGTAGCTCGCATGCTGAAAAAGTGTGAGCACCCCTGGCTTAGATCATAGCCACAGCTCATGCACATCACACACCGCTTCTTCTATTTAAAACAAAGCCTCACGGGGCTGATAAACGCACAGCCAGAGCTGCGCGCTGCTGCAGCCGGTTTGGCCACGATTCCGTTTTACGGACGTCTGACGGGCAGCAGCCAACGCGCGTCAACGGAGACGCGCCCGGTGGAGTCCTGGCCTAGGCACCTCTGGGAACACGTATAGTCGCGCGGCGCGGAGCTTACGGTAGTGACGTGACGTCACTTGCGCTACGCGTGGATGACCGCAAGGCCCTTGCTTAGCCTGCCGCGCACCCTCAAAAATGCCTAACTACGTAAAGCCTAGTGTATACTTGCGCGGCGCTGCTTACGTTAGCGGTTGCGGTGGACCTACGCAAGCACAATTTAATTTATACTCCTTGCGGAGTTTTGAGGAGAATGTTGTAATCGCACAACCAACCACACAATGGCGATCTCACAGGAATTGCTTGAGATACCAAAGCGGTCTCATTAACGCTGCTTTTTTCTCCTCTTCAGAACAAAACATGAACAAACCGAGCTGTTTGAGCTCATTACATGTGGTTCTACTCTAGGTTTATGCGATAGTTCTATGGACTCATTATTCCTTAACTCATTTAACTGTGATGTTGTAAATAAAGACACAGTTCTTAAATTGTATTCAGCATAAACAGCAAAACAATAAAAGTGGTAAATATCTGAGGCAAACATGAACAATTTACAAGTGCAGGAGGAATGGAACAGACGCGATAAGCTACGAGTGCAGATTCAGACAAAGACAGGAACAGTGCAAAAGAAACGACTGCACAGTTTATAAGTTATATATGTTAGATATGCAACAGAACTCTAGTCCATAGTCTCCGCGTATATCAGGCTCTGCCATGAGCACAAACTACTTTTCCTTTGGTTCCTTCGAAGACCGGATCATGCGTCTATGGTGACGCGCGTTCGGCCGTCGCAACGCACAGACCGCTCGGTTTGCACGAACGGACCGTTCAGTAGAGACGCACAGACTTGGCGGGAACGTGAAAAGGGAGGAGCAGGAGCGAAAAATCAATGCCCACAGGAGATGGATTCTGCTCATCCTTTCCTTGGGACGTTCGTGCGACAACCAATCAAAGAGCAGCAAAGTGGTCACGGGGACATTAGCGGACTGAGCAAGCAGACTGAAAATACTCACCCCTTAAGCTCGCTAGCCCCCGCCGGCGGGAGCAAACGAGGAAAAAAATACATCTGCTGGCAATAGCAGATGTATTTTGAACTTCATAAAGCCACAAGCTATATATCATTTTAAAGCTTATTTTCTCAGCTATATTTATATGTAAGTGTAAAGTATCAGACTTTGCATTAAAAAGATATAATGCATAATATGGGCACAAAATAAATCACGTCTGTATTTGTTTTTTACCTTTCGTCTTCTGCTGCTCCAACAAATTAGACTTTCCCCATCCTTGCTTAGTCGCTTTTTCTCCGTAACTGTCTATTGAAGAAGAATATCCACTTGTATTTCCCAAAGTATAATCCATTCTGCAGATTTAATCAAAAAACGCCCCGAAAAGAGGTCCAGACTGCTCTTTTACATTTTTTTTTTTTTTACTATTTTCATGTTCTCAGATGTCTATTACATCTAATATGTACAGTATGAGGATTGGCTTTAGAGCATATTTTATCGAGCCAACAGGTGTCACCGGCACTGCCTCTGGATGTTGAGAAACATTGAACCAGTCCGGCCCTCGGCGCGTAGCAAAAATTTTTTTTTGGCCCTCTGATGTATTTGACTTTGACATGCCTGCTCTAGACAATCACTTTAAAGAACAAATGTACAATATTGCACAACACCTGGATTCAAAGTTAAAACATACCTCCATGACAAACAGATGCCCTTTCATGGGTTTGCACGTGTGTGAGCATTTGTGCTTCTCCGCCATGTTTAAAACAGGTTACACACGTGAGCGTGTTCCCCTGCTTCAGCACTGGAGCATGATTCCCATCACTGACAATAGTCGGATGCAACTGAAAGCAGACATAAACATCCATTTGTGCACACTCAGAAACACAAATATCGCAGACAGACGAGAAGGATCTGTCTGCGGCTTGCAGTACGGAGGCGTGTCGAGTAGTAGGCGTGTCGGGTAGTGACGTCACTACCCGACACGCCTACTACATGAATTTTGAATTCACTTGAACTTCTGCAAGTATATCCGTTGAAGAGAAGACATGGCAGACCGTACGCAAACAGTAAGTGTCAACCAACAACGTGTTTTATTTATTTTTAGGCCGTCCCACAATTTACAGTGTATTAATGAATAAATGCACATCACCCTGACTAGAAATGTTTTTTAAGAAGTGAACTAATACATTGCAGAGAAAGCAATTCGTATGGGTTTCTTCTAAGAGTCCATGTGCCATCGACATGTCAGGTACATAGTATAATAGGTACATAGTATAATATATACAATATAATATTGCCCAAGTCATTTTGCATCGTTAAAATGGTAATAAGGAGAAAAACATAACTCTTTACATGTTTTCCAAGAACAGTGGAGAATTAGTTAGGCAATTATGTGATGTAGCTCACGATGTTTCCTATCACAGTTACAGAAGTCACTGACCATAGTTATTGGATGATGTTCCAAGATATTTGTGTTTCTGAGTGTGCACAAATGGATGTTTATGTCTGCTTTCAGTTGCATCCGACTATTGTCAGTGATGGGAATCATGCTCCAGTGCTGAAGCAGGGGAACACGCTCACGTGTGTAACCTGTTTTAAACATGGCGGAGAAGCACAAATGCTCACACACGTGCAAACCCATGAAAGGGCATCTGTTTGTCATGGAGGTATGTTTTAACTTCGAATCCAGGTGTTGTGCAATATTGTACATTTGTTCTTTAAAGTGATTGTCTAGAGTTTGTCAGAAAGAGAGACAGAGAGGTACTTGATTTGAAAAAAAAAACAACCCAAGCTCCCTCCCCCTTCCTTTCTGATTGGTCTACACGCTCTTACCGGAAGTATAGCATGATTTATATAATGTTTGTTTTACATTAGTAGGCCCGAGCGCCACCAGGCTGGCACAGGGACTATTGTAATGAAAGTGTGCATAAAACACTGAACCCCCCTCAAACATAAACATGTCATGGTACATGTTTCCTGGACGTACACTGTACTAAAAACTCTGCATTGCAACATTGTTGATGTACAGAGACCATAAAGTCATAAGTGCAAGTCACTGACAATATATTAAACAGGACACAAAGACTTCCGGCTGGGCCTCGGAGAGATGTAGACGCGTCGTCTGAGCTCTCCTACATTTACCGCAATTTTACCAACAAGACCACATTTTTATATCATCTGCAACCCGTAAAGGCATTGTGAGTCACACTGGGTGAAACGTATTTTTCGTTTTGTGTATTTTTATTGACTTTGTGGACTTTTCAATATGCCAAAACCGCCTAAAGCTAACGAGACTGGAGAAAGTAGCCTAACCTCGGGGAATACCGCTGTACTACAAGCCATTGACGCTCTGAAATCGGAGTTACTTTCTAAAATTGACGACAAAGCAGAAATGCAGAAAAATGAGCTGGCCAAACAAATACGTAGTTTGAGAGACGAGGTGAAGGCGTCTATTGAGCAGGCTAACAACAGAGTTAGCATGGCTAGCTTGGAGGAGGGGACCAACACGTGCTCTGATGGCGTAACGGAGTTGGAGCAACAGGTGGCTGAACTAAAACATCAAATCTTGAGCCTGACAGAGAAAACTGAAGATTTGGAAGCGAGATCCAGAAGAGATAATTTGCGTATTTTTGGGATAAAAGAAGGCCGTGAAGGTGGTGCGAAAGTGAGCACGTTCATTGCTGAACTCCTGCAACA